CACGCCAAACTTGCTCATTATCACATTCAGGTAACTATATAGATACATATTGAAGTTTTCATTTCGCGCATTCTGCGCAGCCTGGCTCAGCTTGGATGTCGACTCCAAGAAAGAAGTAATGTCCAACAGTCCCTTTGGAGCCTCCTCCACCTCATAATAACCAGGGTACTAAGGCACCTCACAAGATAGCATGTACTGCGTCAACAAGTTACCAAAGAAAAAACGTTTTATTTTTCTCCCAAACCGTGTGAGGTCCATATCTCCTAACATGATATCGCCTACATTGACGGGTCACCTAGCCATAAGAAAAATGATCAAACACACCCGGGCTAGAGTGCACTCACTGTTGTGCTCCACCGATATCAGTTTGGCCTGCACAAAGTTCTACCACACCTTGGCAATTTTGTTGAAGTCAAATCGGATAATCTCAAGATGTGTGTCACCTAAGTCCTTGTCCATTTTGTATTAGAATCGATGCCACATAGAGTATGACAAATAGCCTTGTAGCTTGGGCACTTGACAAATATTTGCAACCCCTACGGGTTAGGGCAATCAACTCCTAAGAAATTTCATAACGAATCCCTATCCATTGGCACTTCCTTTACCCAGACCCACGACATGAACCAATACCCATTCCAATTTGCATAGAGCTCCCTCACCATGCTCAAATTTGCATGTCCCGGGCACTCAAGAAACTTGTCCATCTTCATATCTCTCAATCGTGCGAGCACGTCGGGGAAGTTCTTCTCCAGAGTGGTCACGTTAATCCCCATTTCAGAGACATACAACCCATATGGCTCAAAGTTATGATACCACTGGATGGAGTCCTCCCAAACCAAATCAAATTGGAGTTATGGTCCCCGATGGTTCCCTCCTTGATCCGCCAGCCTCCTGCTTGCCTTTTGCTTGCCGAGATGACCCTTCACCTTGCTTGTGCTTTTTAGGAGGGGGAGTAATAGTAGAGGACTTTCCCACTCCTTTTCCTTTATTAGCACTGTCACGAGCCATAGCAATATACAACATAATCAATTTGGATGTAAGTATTAATTGAGAAGTATGTCCCAAGGTTAAAGTGAAGGTCAAAGTTGACCCCACACTTAGAACCGAAGGCTCTATGCAATATACTCACAATAGTTTTTCAAAGAGTGCGCAAGTGTTGCACCACAAGGCAATGGGTACTGATGATTTTCCATGCCACAAAATTATATTCCAAGTGCTATTTCATACAAAACAAAGTAGTCACTATGGCCATGACATAGCCTCAGTGCAAGCAAGAAACACTTGAGTCCGAATTACTACAACTAATATAATACACTACGAATTCTAACAAGAGGCTACAATATGCATTACACATGATACAAGGTGTGGGTAGTGTGATTATGGTATGGTTAACATGGAACACAAGCTTCGGGCTATGTGAAACCACCGTCAAACACCCCAAACTTATCCCAAAATCACATACAAATACACCCGTCTACTCACACTTCAGCGGTGCACAATATACTCTTTCAAGCATTTTATCAAACAAGTGGTGGGCATTAGTTGTGTGTCTCTTTATTCAACAATGGTGGATCATGAGTACCCTCCCAATTTTAAATGAAGTAGAGGGAATTGTAGTTTACTACTCCGTAGAATATTTTCACAACCACATTCAACAACCAAATTGCACATCGAGACCATCCACAATAACATCATAAGTTGTAAAAGCAAATTAGGGGATATTGAGGAGTGGGGGTTGTTTGGGATGGGGATGGGGGACTTAAAACTCCAAGAAATCAAAAAATACAAGAAAAGAAAGAAGAAGAAGACACATACCTTTGAGTTTGAGATGAAAGCAGGCAAAGAACAATGGAGAAATTTAGAGAGAGGGAGAGAGCAAGAAGTAGGGAGAGAGAGTGTTGTGAGAAACGTGGGTGAGGGATGATATATATATATATATATATTCACTGCACCCCAGCGCGTCACGCTAGGCCTGACGCTGGGGGATTTTTACTTCTGTTTTTTCCACCCTAAGCAACGTGGGGCGCTAGCCTGGGTGCTGATTTTTGCATTTTCTATTTTTTTTAATGAACATCTCCACCTAACCGAGCACTTAGTACATCCATTATACACATCTCACACCATTCCAAACCTATGATTTCTATGACTACAAAGAAAACAAAAAACTCTAATGTACTCTAACTAAAAAAGAAAAAACAACTAAACTACGAAAGCAATAAGCAATTGGTTGCCTCCCAAGAAGCACCTGATTTAACATCACAGAACGATGCAACACATTCCCTCACGCATACACCAATTCTATCGAAGTTTTGTGACGACGAACGCCACCACCCCAATAGTGTTTCACTCTCTGGTCGTTGACTAAAAATGTGCCATTTCTTTTGGAATCCTTTAGCTCAACAACTCCATGCTTTATAACCCGCACCACTTCAAATGGACCTGACCATCTAGACTTGAGTTTCCAAGGAAAGAGCTTCAACCTTGAATTGAACAATAGAACGGCTTGATCGGGTTCGAACTTATGATGCAAAATATGTTTACCATGCAATCTCCTTGTTTTCTCTTTATACAACTTCACATTCTTATATGCATGTAGTCGAAACTCTTTGAGCTCATTTAGTTGCTACATCTATTTTTTCCCAGCTAGATCCATGTCAAAGTTGATCTTCTTGATTGCCCAATATGCCTTATGCTCAAGCTCAACAGGCAAGTGACGAGACTTTCCATAAACCAACATGTACGGCGAAGCACCAATTGGAGTTTTGTATGCAGTGTGATATGTCCATAAAGCATCATCCAGCTTGCTAGTTCGATCATTCCTACTTGCGCTCACTGTCTTCTCCAAACTTTTCTTCACCTCCCTGTTTGAGACCTCCACTTGACCACCTGTTTACGGATGATGAGCAGTTGCGACCTTGTGTCACACCCCATACTTAGCTAAGTGGTTGCCCAATAGTTTGTTACAAAAGTGAGTACCTCCATCATTGATCAAAGCACGCGGAGTTCCAAATCTCGTAAACATATTATTTTTTATCAAAGCTCACCACCACCTTAGCATCATTGGTAGGCAGAGCAACAATTGCAACCCACTTTGACACAAAGTTAATTGTAACCAAGATGTACCGATGGCCATTCGATGCTGGAAATGGCCCCATGAAGTCTATTCCCCAAATATCGAAGCTTTCAACCTCAAGTATTCCCTTCAATGGCATCTCATGCCTTCTCGAGATTGTACCAATCGTTTGGAACCTACACATTTTTTCACAAAAGCATGTGCATCCTTGAATAACTTGGGCCAATAGACTCCCAAATGCAACACCTTTGCAGCCGTTTTGTCTCCACCATAGTGCCCCATATACGGTGATGCATGACAATCATGTAAAATTACTTCCATATCCTCCCCAGGATCACATCGGTGCACCAACTGATCTGCACACTACTTAAACAAAATTGGCTCATCCCATAGATAAATTCTAACATCGTGCATGAATTATCTCTTTCCATTCGGAGATAACTCTGACGGAGTCACCCCACTTACAATAAAGTTCACATAGTCAGCATACCATAGGGTCGTGCCAACTGTGATGGCTAGCAATTGCTGATCAGGAAAACTTTCCTAAATTTTGCCCCATTCCTCAACATCTGTGAGAGTTTCCAAGCATGACAAATGGTACGCTACCTGATTTTTTGTTTCTTTTCGATCTTTGATTTTCACGTCAAATTCCTGCTAAAGAAGAACCCAACGAATTAGTCTAGGCTTAGCATCCTTTTTCTCAAACAAATACCTGATGGATGCATGGTCTGCGTAGACGATGACTTTAGTTACCACCAAGTTGGCCTTAAAATTGTCAAACGCCCATACTACCGCTAGTAACTCTTTTTCTGTGACTGTGCAATTTATCTAAGCTAGGTTTAGAGTTTTTCTAGTGTAGTAAATTCAGTGGAACACTTTATTTTTCTTCTGGCCCAATATGGTCCCAATTGTCGTGTCACTAGCATCACACATCAACTCAAAAGGCTCTCCCCAGTCTGGAGCGGTGATAATTGGTGAAGTCACCAATATCTTTTTCAACTCCTCGTACGCCTTCAATAAATGCTCATCAGACTTAAAGGCGTATCCTTCTCAAGAAACCTGCACAATGGATCAGAAATCTTAGAGAAATCTTTAATAAATCCACGATAGAAACCTGCATGTCCCAAAAAGCTTATGACTCCTTTGATAGAGATTGGAGGCATCAATTTTTCAATTGCATCCAGTTTTGCCTTATCCATCTCTAACCCATATTTGGACACCTTGTGCCCGAGTACAATTCCTTCTCCTACCATAAAATGACACTTCACCCAGTTCAGCACTAAATTTGTCTCTTCACACATGGCAAGCACTTTACTCAAATTCGTTAAGCATTCATCAAAAAATGGTCTGAAGACCGAAAAATCATCCATAGATACTTCAACAAATATTTCTACCATATCAGTGAAGATTGCCACCATGCACCTTTGAAAAGTCGTAGGTGTATTGCACAACTTAAATGGTATTCACTTAAAAGCATAGGTGCCATAAGGACAAGTCAATACTGTCAAATAGCATAAGTGCTTTCTCTAGAGAGTCATCCAGATATGCATCCACATCATTTTTTCTTCATCTTTTTCAATCACAGATATCATTGCTAGATCATCATAGTGACTTGGCAACTGAATTGCTTTGTACATGTTAAATACTGCTTACACATTATCAACCCAGAGAACCATTTTTCATTTACTAACTTGTATCACAATATCAGCGGTGGCTAAAAAAGGTATTCCCAAGATGATGGGGACGTGTTCATCAGCTTCATAGTCCAATATAATGAAATCTGCTGGCAAAATAAATTGCCCAATTTGTAGTAGCACATCTTCTTTCACCCCCTCTGGATAGACAATAGATCTATCAGCAAGCTGCTATATGACTGTGATTGTCCTTGGGGCTCCCAACCCCAATTGACTGAAAACTGAGAGGGACATCAAATTATGCTAGCTCCCAAATCACAGAGTGCCCGTCCCATATCTACCTCACCAATTCGCACAGGTATGGTGAAGCTCCTTGGATCTTTCAACTTTTGCGGCAACTTTCTTTGAATTCCTGAGGTGTACTCTTCAGTAAGTGCCATTATTTCAAACTCTGTCAACCTTCTTTTGTTAGCCATAATATCTTTGATGTACTTAGCATATTTTGAGATTTCACGTAGCACATCAATCAATGGTAGATTCAATTGAATTTGGCTCAGCATATCAAAAACTTTGTTGAACATCCTGTCATCACTTTTCTTCTTCAATCTTTGTGGGAAGGGAGGTGGTGGCCTTGCGATCGAAGTCTTTTCACTTTTTTTCAATTTCTATCTCAGTTCCCACCACAGTTTTTGGGACCAGTTCACCCTTAGGAGTGACTTTTCTTTCTTTCTTTTTGGTACTTCTTCTAATTCTCTGTCATTACTCAAAGTTATAGCATTTAACTGAGAATTCTTATCTGTATCACTTGGAAGGGCTCTGGCAGGTTGAGTATTTTATTCACCCTTCTTGGTTCACCCTCACCCTGCCAATTTTGATCATTTCTAGTGAAATTGTTCAGCAGAGTCTGAATCTCACAGTATGGCTTTTGCATGCAACTTTCTCCACAAGCTGAATCTAGATTTAATTTGGAGGTCTCGTCCAACCAATCCACTAAGGTATGTCCCAACACCTCATCAGTCTGACAATGATATAGGTAGTCCCAAAGTAGTTTCTTATATCTTTCTCAAGCTTGACAAAGAGTCTCACCATCTCGTTGTTGAAACCCAAGAATCTGGCTCCACAGTGACTTTGTTTTCTTTGTGGAAAAAACTTGATTAAGAATTTTCATGCTAGATCATTCCAAGTGTGGATTGAGTTTGCAGGCTCTTTGGTTAACCATTCCTTAGCTTTCTCCGGCAGTGAAAAGCGAAACAATGCCAGTCTGAAGTAGTCCTTGGAAACATTCGGATAATTATAAGTATTCATAATTTCCAAAAAGTTCTGAATGTGCCGATGTGGATCTTCATGAGATAGACCCACATACTGTCATATGAACCAAATCAGTTGTACCATGTACTGTTTGAGCTCAAAGTGACCCGTGATGTCTGGCTTCAAGATAGCCTGAATCATTTTAGTAAGATTAGGCCTTGCGGCCTCTATCACTGATCGCTCTTCATTATCTGGCATCTCGATTGGTTGTGGTTGGACTACGGTTCCCAACTCTACAATTTCTGTTCTTGCTTTCGCCTCCATCCTTAACATGTGGAATAGTCTTTTGGGTTCAGGATCAAAAGGCAGAAGGCTATTCAAACTGTTAGTTCTTCTTAGCATTCAATGTGAACACTTGTAGAGTCATAACAACAAAACAAATCAAATCTCAAACAAAATAAATAAATGCTTATTTCAAACAAGTAGCTAATTTCTAAATCCCCGACAACAACGCCAAAAACTTGTTGGGTCCAAATGCACATGCAAGTATACGCAGTCGACAAGTAATAAAGTGATAAGAAAGTATCATTCCCACGAGGATTTATGATCAACTATTGTGCAATCTAAGATATTATAAATTTAATGCTCAAGTGAGTGTGAAGAAGATGATTGTGATTTTTGTATCTAAATTACTACGAACTAATAAGCAATCAAATAAATAAGATCGCAAGTAAAGCAAACAAACACTTAGGAAGAATTCAATCAGATGGGGGTATTCCAGGGTTATGGTATTAACGCCTCTCATATTGCACTTTTCGGTTGATGTAATCACTTAGCTTATCTAATCTGTTGATTAGTAGGTTTTATTATGCTTGGGAAGTTCTTTCGACGCTTCACTCACCTATTTAAACCAACCTATGACTATATGTCTATAGAATCAGACTTGACAAGAAAGCATATAGATTTTCCTGCAAAAATTACCAAGTAAGGCATCTAGAATGTGTTTATCGTAATCGCAAATCTATTCTCCGATGCCTGGATTCAAAAATTTACTCTATTCAATCTTATATTCAATCCATAGTTCCTACTTTAGAGTTCAACTATAAATTCGTAGATAGTACTCTATTATTAGCTACGTAATAGAATATTAAGTACAAGATTGAACAAATAAATTAGTATTATAAAATCAAGCAAAACAATCAATCGCCAAATTACAATAGTCAAGAACGACCCATAACCCCAGAATAATGAGGTTCTTAGCCACTCATGTTCATAACAATAATCAAAATATTATTTTTAAACATAAAAGCTATGAATACTAGATGAATGATGGAAGAGTTGATGAATTTCGTGCTCTCGAGTATTCCATACTTGTGTTTTTCTCTCAAAGTGGCGTATCCTCCTCCACAATAGGTTTAGACTTGCTTTATACAAGTTGGGGGCGTCTTGGGTCGAATTAACCAAGTCCCGAGTGAAATAGGATAAGTTTCTGTCACCAGCGCCCTTGGTAGCGTGGGGCACTAGCCCTGGAGTTGGGAAATTTTAGGGGCTGATTTCTGCGCCACATGTAGCTCCCCACGCTATCCCGGGCGCTACGTTGTGGCATTTTTTCCATTTTGTCCCCTTTTTTTGATTCAAATCACGCACCTTCATCCCACATTGCCCTCGAATGATTCCTACACATTAAAATACCATGAATTAGCATAAATTATTAGATTACACATCGAAAATCTACGTAACATGAGTAAAATGCGAGGCAATATGCATATAAATATACATACTTTAAGCCGAATATCAGAATCGCTCTGAATAAACCAAATTACGGAGACTGCCAAGCTCGCAAGTATATTCATGAAACACCTGTATAGCCTAATCGCACCAAAGGAACTGATCATTTCCTTTACCATGCTGATCAAAACCACTACTAAACTGACTCAATTTTTTTCGATTTCCCCTTGGCTTACCTTTAAAATAATACTCTCTTCTCCATCACACAATGGACCTTAATCGACACGCATCCCGAGTGACCCCAAATCATAAGACCAAATCGTTTAAATACCCATAAGCCATTTTAAACTCTTAGCATGCACTCAATAGTATCTCCAACTGATACCCCTATTCTAAAAGATCTTCTGTGAATCCAAAGTTATTTCTTCCATCTGACCCAGTGACATTCATATAAATACTCCAAGCCTCTTTTACAACCCGCTGCAATACTCTATCTTTAGCCATGCAACGAACCCGAAAGTCATTAGGTACTGCACTTTAAATTCTTAAACCCACTAGAACCATTACTGAGAGCCGCCCACTCTAAACATTCTCGATTATATAACCAAATAACTAGTGCTCCTCTAGTATATGAATACTCCAAAGAAGCAACCGGATGAATCCTTTCCCTTGCACATCACATCCATAAGAATTATAAATTTTGAAGTCATTCCACGACCTTCTCATAAATCGATAAGGTGAAATGTAGAACATATCCATCAAATTCCTTTCTCAAATTACACCTGATGTCCCCCTTCTCTAGTCACAACCAATTCACCAACATACAGATGACCAAAAATTGTAAAGACACACGAACACATAACCCAATCATCGACGGTAGGCTCTCCCACTTGGTTTTAATCCATAACTTCAAAACCCAAGGACTTAATGACTTTTCCTTCTAGCTACCATGATCTCATACTGTTACCCAGCCAAATTCTCACAAGCTCTTATTGAACTAACCATACACATCCCGAATTATCAGCCACAAACTCACACTCGACCTCCTGACAGTCTCTTAATATTCTTCAAGCGATTCAAGCCCACATCGTAGTATATGCATCCCATTAGATAGAAGGTAGAACTTTTTATAGGAACTTCACCAATCATGCAGCCTCTAACCGTCTCACGGAAGATAGCCCCACTTGTGTAACCTCGTATTGATATCCCACAACGACATTGCCATGGGTACATCCACTATGAAATCGGTTAATCCTACTGAGTCCACACTCGTCCACCAGTTGTAAGAGTTATCTCATTCCACCAACACCAACTGAAGGTCCAACAATACATTTACAACTCGAAGCTATATCGCATCCACAAAATGATAATCAAGCATTCACACTCCTCCGCATCCTAAGAAACTCTTTTCGTCACATTTGAACTCCCAAGTATAAAAGCCACTATCTCAGACGAAATACACAGACTTAGTCATTTGTCCACCATAACCCAAATCACACTAAGCTTTCTCAAAGCATGTGAATATCCTACCACAAAATCTATATGATACGGTACCACTCCCACTCTGGTTAAACCATCTCCCTAAGTAAACTACTCGATCTCCGCTGCTCATACTTGACCCGCTAACAATTTAACCATCGCGAAACATATCCTACCATGTCCTTCCTCATCATCTGTCACCAGTCATGCCTCCCCAATTCACGATCCATCTCTGTGGCACCCGAACATATCGATTGTCATCAAATTTAGGCCTCCTCAAGGATCATCTCCCTCGAGCCATCAACATTGGAAACACCTATCTGACCCTGAAGTTGCAATATACCGTCATCTCAAATAACCGCTTCTTAGGTACTCCTTCGCAAAACCGTGCTCCCAAAGGTAAACAAATGAAGACCAACATACTAAAGAACCTTAGTGCACTCAAATAAGGACGACGACGCCACAATACAAACAAAGTTTCCACTAAGTTTGGAAATGCCCAATCTCTCCATTTCATCGGTTAAAGCCTGAACACCCATAGCCAATTGCCCCTCCTGTGTTGGAATTAAATACCGAGTCTTCTAATCACGAACCGAATAATCCTTTTTCCAGAAGCATTCACTGCTGCAACACATAAGTAATCACCCTCCAAAAGGCAACGATAATAGTCGCCCGCATACGCAAGGTAAAATATCCTGCACCATATCTGTAGCATCTCAACAGCTCGTCGGTGCCCAACTATTATCGAATACTCAACATCGCTATGACTGAGTAGGAAGGAAATGAATATATAGGTTTCAATCGAAATCAAATCGCACGACAATGAATCAAGAAAAGGAAGTTCTCCTAACAGCCCTGTAGCCTCTCGAAGATAAGTAAAGACGTCTCCTTACTAATCTGCAAGACTCTACTAGACTGGCTCATGACTCGTGAGACTTAAGTCAACCTAGTGCTCTGAGTTAATCCAAAATACATTTTAAAATAATTAAAGAAATAAAGAGTGGAAACCATTCGTATTTATAGAAAATATAGATATTATTATTTTAAATGTTCGAATGAGGCCAAATATAAATCAGAAAAATCATAGTGGAATACAACCAAGAGCAAGATCTAAATCCCCAAAACCCGGTGTCACAAGTGCAACAACATCTACTAGTGAGTACAATACTAATACAACATTTGTCTAGAATATAAAATAAAAGGGATAAAATAAATAAATATGATGAAGACTTCTTGTGCTACGGATCCTAACATGGAATGCAGCTCACCATAAAGTCACCTCAACAGCTGCGCCTATACGCCAAGATGACCGCCAAATGGACATGTCCCAGTACATGCACAATTAATGCAGAAGTATAGTATGAGCACGTAAATCAACGCATACCCAGTAAGCATCTAGCCTAACTCCGAAGAAGTAGTGACAAAGGGTCGACATTGACACTTGCTAGTGGTCCAATAAATCAAGTACAATAAAAGTAGACAGGTATGAAGCATGGCAAGTAAAACAGTGAAAACAGATATAGGTACATAATACAATCCTCAACTGAAGAATGAACACGAAGTCCTCAAATACCGGATACTTCCTCAAATGGAATACATAATGGTCAACACCAAATAAATGGTCACATATCAAGTCATGAAGACTCATAAGCGTGCTGACTCCTTATCAAATATTTCGCACGATTCTGCCAAAGCAAACGACCCGATCCCATAAGAGTAATGGCATAATTTTTTGTTGTGGCATACGATCCGATCCCACAATAATCGTGTAAACTGCCGAGGGTTGACCGACCCGAACCATAGATGTATCTCATAATACTGCCGAGGTTGTATGGCCCAATCCATAATAGTGTTGCTGAGGCGTTCAACCCGATCCCATAAAAATAGTGAAACTTGACGGGTCACTGGCCCCANAAAGAAAGTATAAGTTCCACTACTAACCAAGTAGCTCGTCTAGTATTTACGATAGCAAGGTCTGATGCTCTATACAAGTCCAGTCTCATGCCAAATATGATAATTAAGGCAGGTAAACAGACAAGGATAACTCAAACAATACAATTAAAGCATGACGTGAGTTTAAATCTACCCTGACCTAATCAGGAATTCTAGCATACGCA